ACTACAAAATAATTAAGAGTTACTCCTGGACTGACTTGAACTGAGTATCGGATGTCCACGTTAAGCCCTGCAAAGCCTGTATTACTGCTCTTCCAAGTCTCGGGCGCATGCAATGCGAAAATTGCCAACTGGGCCCGGGCCAACTGCAGGAGGTCCCTCAGCTCCTCGGATGCTTTCTGTGCATTAATAATTATTATGATTAGCAAATAATAGAGATTCCAGTCGGCCTGGAACTTAACTAGAAGGATACATCACAATACGACTAGGCAGTAGCAAGAACATGAAGCTGAGGTTCCTGAACAGCTCGGGTGAAGTCCGCCATCGTCACGGGCTTATTGATGGGCTGCAGTGGCAGCATCCCGTGGGCATCGGCGATCTGGAATTGGGGATGTTGCACACGAAAATATATTTGTTAGAACATTTAAATTCCAACCCCTGAAAGACAACCAATCAACCCCTCAATGACTCAAGGATCCGAAAAAAGTTGCTTAGCACGCCGAGCCACAGCCTTCCTGCAGGCATGCATGTACACCAAACGGGCATTCATGCAGCACCACTGGCGAAACAGGATGTTGTATGCCGCCGTAGGATCGGACGGGAGGTTGTCCATGTTCTCCATAAACTCGTTCACCTGTGGATACCTTGATTGGAGCTTAACTCGGGGCACGCATGAACCACACCAGGTCCAAACCCACCTCTTCCTACAGCCACTATTCACTATTAATACTAGCTATAAATAATAATTAAATATAGTTGTTATATTACTTATAATTATTTATTATTATTAAAATAATATTATTACTTATAATTATTATTATTAATTATAGTCTATTTATTGATTTAAAAGTATTAAGGCAACACGGGGCTGAATCTTCAAACCGAGTTGCGGAGACGGCCGCCCGGCCGGCCGGCTGCTGCTTGACGGCTCGGACGCAGCACGAGAACTCGGCCGCCCACCACCACTGCTGCTAGCCGGCTCGGACGACGGAGGCCTGTACCTGTGAGGATGCCGTTTCTCGGGCGGCTGGCCAGCTTGCTCCGCCGCCTCCCGGAGCAAGCGACGCTTTTGCCGCAGCTTCTTATTGGGCTTGGAGCCTGGACGCCGCTTTTCCTGCAGGGGCTTTCTATTCAATCATCTCAACACCGTAAAATTAATTAACCCAAGTTATCTTTGGCTCAATTCAAGGGAAGGCTTAATTATTTATTATTTAGTTAGAGCTTACTTTTCCAAACACCGTCCTCGGGCACATCCTCATCCTCCTCCTCTTCCGCATCTTCGTCTCCGCCCGGCGGTTTCTCGGGCGGCTCCTCGTTCTTTCGGCCACCTCCACCGGCGGCGCTTGCCATGGCTGGCACAGAACTTCGATCTAAATGATTAATGTTTACAATTGACAAGGTACTCAATACTTCAAATTCTAGCCACTGACTACGTGTAAAATAATAGGTACATGTATGGGATTGAGACGAGGGCTCTCGTTCGTTAGAGAATTATTATGAGCCTTGCTACCACTAGCACTACCACACTGCTGCTGCTGCTACTACCACTACTTCTTCCACTACTTCTACTACTGGTGGCCCTGCTGCACGGGCTTGCTATCGTCTGGAGGCAAAGTGGGTGCTAAAACCCCAGCCGCTCAATCAAGTGCTTCACGAATTACTCGAGGATGATGGCGGCGGTGTCGGTCACAGCCACTGAAGTTTATTAAAAGTCTCATGAATTTTGCCAAATGCGGGACTGGACACATAGTCAATAGTAATAATAAATACCCTTTGACGTGTGGCCTGGATCTCGGACGTACCTCTGCAAACTCCAATGTGGCCCACGTTTAATATTTTTAGCAAGGTTTCAAGCCCCTTCGACCCAGAAATGTTTAGTCTTATTTGTTTATTGATGCTGCCACAGCCCTCGACACCCCGTCAATGGACCGGTCCTCGGACAATCGTGGTCAGCCAACGGCGAATCGCAGCGGGTGGCAGACCTGAGCGGCAGGTATTGCGATTGCGGGTGAGCAAGCTCCTTGGGTTGAAGGCTCCGAAGTCTAGAGTTTGGGGTTGTCGTTGTGGTTTATTTACGAATCTAAGTACTGAGGTGTGGGGCTGGGGACTGGATGTTCACGCAGTCCCAAATCCAAACACTCCCAACTTCGCAAACACAGGGCTCTTAATTGGCTGGAACAATATTGTATATTATAATGCAAAATCGATTGTGGGAATGCTGTGGCTGCTAGAGCATGCTTTTGATGTCTGTAGTCGGGGTCTTATAATCATAATAATTATATTGAGTTGGATCCTAGTAGCACTAGTAGTCTTCTTTGCTCTGGGCTCGGGCAGGAGGTATGGGTCGCTCGGGCAGTTGCAAGGATGGCTTGGTGGGGTGATGATCCATGGGACGCTGTTTAGTTTCTTAACTAACGAATGTCTATGACGATCAAAGAATGAGTATTATTATGATTGTCATGGCTCTCTTGAAGAATGAAGTTCCATGAACGATGCTTTGGGAAGCTCGGGCAGTTTCAACCTGGAATACGGAATGATCACTATTAGTATAATTATTACTTATTAGAATTATAAGCATTGCTATTCTCAGAACTCGGACAAGTCAATTGAAGCCTTCAGGTGGGGTTCGGGTTGACACCTCCTTTATTTATTTAGGGCTTACTAGTTGAAATTGAGGGTATAATTAGGGGGAATGAATCAATCAACCCCAACTGACTCCGTAACTGAGGCTCGGACCAGGGCCGGGCGGGGAGGGGAATGTGTATTATTAATATTATTATGGTTTAGGGTATAATTTAAGTATAGTCTTGATTTATTAGTAGGGTTTCAGACTACTGCTATTTGGGGGCTCGGGCGAGGTTGGAATGATCTGGTCGGGAGCCGCGGCCACCCAGACCAGTATCCGAAGATGCCAGGGTGAACTGAAAGCCGCATGCCGGAAGCCGGGAGCCTGACCGGTGGTCAGGCTGCCACGGCCGTCCAGGCCATGCCGGAAGCCGGGAGCCTGACCAGTGGTCAGGCTGCCACGGCCGTCCAGGCCATGCCGGAAGCCGGGAGCCTGACCGGTGGTCAGGCTGCCGCGGCCGCCCAGACAAGGCTGCTTCCAGAAGACCGGGAGCCGGGAGCCTGACCGAAGTCAGGCCGCCACGGCCGCCCAGGCCTATTGAGCCGGGAGCCTGACCGGTGGTCAGGCCGCCGCGGCCACCTGGCATCTTGGATGCTGTTGAGGGGCCTGGTGCAATGCACCAGTCCACCTCTTCAAACCCAAACCTCTAATAACCACTAATCCTAAACGCGCCTCGTCACGAAGTCCAGGGCCCCCGGCAGTTACTAGAATTAAATTAAATTAAAACTGAACAAAGAACAACACTAACAGTAACAGTAACAACCCATCAATTCAACTAAGCCTCAACCCGAAACCCCAGCCTGAGTCAAGCCCCAACCCGACCCCAAACCCCAATCAACACAAGATCATGCTCCACCCGACAAACCCGCAAAGCTCCAATCTGAACACCCTGAAAACCCGGACCCCCCGAACCACCAATCCCTAGAACCTCGACCCCTGAGCTCCAAACCCTCAACACCAAACCCGAAACCCCACCAACACGCCAAGGCCCCAAGCTGAACCCCTCAACAACCTGGGCCCCCCAAACTCCCAAACCCCTTGACCCCCAAACCCTAACCCCAAACCCCCACACCCTGGACACTAAACCCGAAACCCAAAGAACCAAGCTACAACCCTGGACCTGAAAGTGGGGCGCCGGCGTAGTGTCGCCGGTGCCCGCCGGAGGTGAAGGGGCGGGCTGGGGTTTAAGGTTAAGGGGAAGTTACAGGGGGATTTAAAGTTATGGGGAAGCTAATGCATATGTGTTATAATCATGTTGAGATAAAAATATTATGTGCAGATGATTGTGTAGGTGAGGCTCGGGCAGTTGTCGTTGGAATGGTTATTTGATACACTCGGGCGACCAGTACAATTTCAATTGCCACATAATATTAAACTAAGGTTAGATGTACTTAAGTAGGTGAGACTCGGGCGGTTCTTGTTGCTGCTACACTCGGGGGTATGGCATTAGTTATTTAACTGTTCTTATCATATTTACTACAAGAATTTATTGGGTAGCAAACAATTGGTTATTATTATTCCGTAGCTCTTATTCATTATCATAAGTAATAAGTTGTACATTGTCTTTGTAGTTGTCCAAATATTTAACCTATTGCTTCTCAAACAGTTATTAGAGTTCTTGTGATGGGCTGTGTTTGTTAAATTGTGTTCTTTCTTTGTGGCTCACAATTACTACACCGGAAGTATTACATATAAGCAACTACTCAGACTCTATTATCTAAAACTAATATAACAACAATACTAATCCTCGCATATTTAATATAATAATACTTGTAATTAGTTATAGTATATCTTAATACTAATTATATAAGAGTACCACTACTAATTATTATATTATATTAATACTAAATATATTAATACTAATATTAGCCACAGCCGAGGGCGAAGTTCGACGAAGGGGGCGGGGGTTCGGCGAAGGGGGGTCGAAGGGATTTGGGCTGCCCCCCCAGAGTGGTGCCTACGCCTGTTTGCCCTAGAAGTTCCTTTTGGGGATTACCTAATAGGATTCTAAATATGAGCCCCAAAAAGGAACTACTTTAGGGCCTTAGGGTAACCATTAGCTGTTGAATTGTAGTGGCGCAGTAGTTGTTAGGTTCATCCGGCTCTTAAACTTTTGATAAGACCCTGACAAGGCAATAGTCACCCAAAACGGCGTGCTGCACTCCAGTCCAAGCATGGCCTGAGCAGTCCCGACCCTGAAAACATGCTATTCAGGGGCCTCGGCTGGGGGGTCCTTATAATAAGGATCCTACTATTTAGGGTACTATATTAGGGACCCCTATTTTCGGAAATTTCCAGAGTTTCTGGAGCAGTGATACTCTTCAAAGGGACTCCTCAAGAAGCTTTGAACCCCTTCCTCACCGCTGTTTGCTGGAGCCTTCTGGAACTCGTCCATTCGGTGGGATGCCGTCGTAGTCTTTTCACCATGAAAACCCGATCCTGGCAAGCACTTAGGAGGCTTTTCAAGTTGCGGTGGAAAGATTCGTGGACACCCAGGCAAGCAGAAAGACGGACAGAAACAAAGCAATGGACCACGGCGCAAAGCGGTGCATGCATCGTTAAAGTTTGATGGAGACGCAGCAGACCGGCGGAAAGATGGAACAAACAACGGAGACAAGCAAAACGAAACCAGGTGATACTAATGGCTGTGTTCCGTGTGTACATGAAGATCATTGCGAGGGTGTCATCTTGTGTGCAGTCACTGATGCGCAGCTTGTTCAAGGTCAGGTGTACTCGAGCCAAGCACACGGGGTACACAGGTACTGGTGCGCAATTATGAACGACAGACAATCCGCACAACCGGCAGCATGCTCAGAACCAGCGCTACATCATGAACAAAGAAGTCGCAACAGCATGACCATCCTTGCCATCGTCTTCGTCATCATCCCCCGTCGTCTTCATCACATCAAGCGCCATCAGCGAACAAACCCAACAATCAGAACACCCAAAGTTAAAACCAACAGGGCATCAGGTTGGAAACGAGTAGGCAGCTGGTCCTGCAGTGGACTTTGGCGAGAGTCGGCCGACCTTACTCTCCGGCGCACTGGGGTCAACGCCGGCCTTCTTCTGAAGCTGCAGCCTGGGTTTAGGGCTTACCCATAGGCCCCAAAGTAGTTCCTTTTTTGGATTACTTTATAGGATTCTAAATATGAACCCCAAAAAGGAACTACTTGAGGGCCTTAGGGTTTTAGGGCTTAGAGCAAAGAGAAGAAGTGCAAGTTGGATGGAGGTTCGTGTGTGGCTTTGGGGTTTACGGTCTAGGACAGGCAGGGTAGGAGTGTTGTTGTGTTTGCTGTCGTTGTTTTGTTCGCTGTCGTTGCGGGGCGCGTTTTTTTGCAGTCGTTGCGGGGCGCGTTTTTTTTTGCTGTCGTCCCCGGGGGGCGTGTTTTTCTTTTTTGCTTTGCTGTCGTTGCGGGGGCGCGATTTATTTTTTTGTTGCTGTCGTTGCGGTCCTGGGTGCTTCTTTTTAGGCTGGGGACCACAATGACAGCAAAAAACCGTGCCCCGCAACGACAGCAAAAAAAAAAGGCTCCCGGGAATGACAGCATTTGCAAGCCCAATTTGCGGAGTCAAATGTTGTTGCCACAAAACTGTTGTTGAACCCTTTTTGCTGCTCCAATACGCATGGCCAAGCGTTTTCCGATTCTTGGAGCAGCAAAAAGGGTTCGACAACAGTTTTGTGACAAAAACAAGTCGGAACCTGGATCCAGCAAACGTGCTGCAAGTGTCTTTAGAGGAAGATCGCCAAGATGTGCGCGTAACCGTGCAATAAAGGTGTACGTCTTCCACGGGAGAAGACAAATTATCATCGATATGTGTGTTTTGTTCTGATTTTCTATGTACTAGCCGTTACTAGCCACGATTGCTTTTGGAGCCTACTGGGCGGTACTCCAAGGACCAGGGCTTTTGATATCTAAACTCAGCTCGTCTATGCTGATCCATGTTGTTTGGCCTAAACCCTAACTCGTACACCCTGAACTAATTGCGCAAGGGTCTTCGGGTCCCATTTGAGGCTTAGGGTTTAGGGTTTAGGGTCTATCGTAACAAACAGCCGACACCAACTATTTGCTCAATAATTCTCAGCTTTGCTTGATGCATTCAGTGATATTCAAGGACCGGGGACAAGGCCGTCTTTTTGTTCCCAAGTACACCAGCCGGTTCCCAAGCAAAGAAAAACGCCCTGCAACGATAGCCAAAAAGCAACGACAGCAAAAGCAACACGGGGCGCATGTTGATTTTGCTGTCGTTGTGGGAACCGGGGTTCGATCACTCACTGGCTTCCTGGGTCCGCGCAACAAGAACAAAAACAAACATGAGGCAACTACAGCAAACAAAAAAACACCGGTTCCGGGCAAGCGCAAGAAGCTAAACTTGGATTGTGGTTCATGTGTGGGTTTAGGGTAGTCCAGAACTTGAGGTATACTGAACCATAATCCTGTTAGGCTTCGATGCTGTCGGCCCGAACCTCCTAAGCCCGCACTCCTAATCAAAAACTCACCTCCGAAGACCACAGTCCGATGAACAATTGGAGAGCTGCGCAATGTCATTTACTATACTGAACTTAGAATAGCAAAAAGTGTAATTTTAGCTGTTTCTTAGGGATTATACTAACCAAAAGTTTAAAAAATATTTCTAAGTACCCCTAAGTTTAATGTAGGGGATTCAAAAACTGGCAAAGGGATTTGGCATGTAGTATAGTTATTTAGAATTGTAGTCGGGAGCCCAACGGTAATTGAGGAATGCGAAGAATACTCATCTTAATCAGGCCCCTGCAGCATATTCGACGATGACTGGGCATCGAAAATCTGCTGCTCACAACATATCAAGACCATCATCAGCAACCCTTCCTAGAGTATTTACCATAGTTCCCTGTTGCCGGCGAACCAGGCATAAAAACAAATCTTCCAAAAACACAATGCACTACCACGGTAAACCGTAGGTTCAAAACCCCTGCAGAACGATAGGCCCTACATCCCAACCCCCAACCCCTGAAACCTGAAAGGGGCTGAATGTGAAATTCAATCCCCTGGAATCCCGGTTTAGGGTTTAGGGTTTAGGGTTTAGGGTGAATCCCACAAGTTACCGAGACCAATAGCTACTGCGCTGTATGGTTACAGGGTTTGGTTTGTACACACACAAAGCAACTAACTCACTGCCGACAAACCTAAACCCAGAATCCTAAGCCACGAAACCAAAACCCCCCCCAAACCCCGACGCCCTGAAAACCCGCCCAAAACCTGAACCCTAAAGCCCTAAACCCTAAACCCTACACCCTGAACCCCAAAGCCCCCTGAAGCCCTAAACCCTAAACCCTAAACCCCTAAACCCTAATCTACAAAAGCCCAAACCGAGTTGATCACAACCTCAACCGAATTCAACTTAGAAGGGGCTGAACATTGTGAATGCACAGACCAAAACCCTAATCCCTGCACCCTGAAACCGTGAATTCTTCATCCCAAACTTCAAGTTCTACAACCCTGAAGCCCCCAAGAAGCCCCCAAAAACTCTAAATGCTTAAGTATGACCCCTTAAAGCCATAACCCTAAAGCGGCAATGCCGTGTAGCCCTGGGCTCTAGACCAGGCTGAGGAATGAATCCAAGCGGCAGCTCTTTCTCCAACTCCTCGATTTGGGCCTTCCGTTTAGGGTTGGGGTTTAAGGCTTAATTGGGGTTAGGGTTTAGGGTTTTTCTTAAGGCCCAGGGTTACGGTTTAAGGTTTTTGAAAAGGTTTAAGGTTTAGGGCTTAAGGCAGAAACAATTGAAGAGGCCCTTGGGGTGTGCTGTACACGGTTTAGGGTTTAGGGTTTAAGGCCTAGGTTTAGGGTGCCTAGACACGGAAGTGTAGAGTCTTTTCTTGGATGACTTGCTTTACGGTCGGACGTAAGACAAGAAAACCCCGAACCCTAAACCCTCAACCACAAACGAAGTGCTGCAGTCTTGGGTCGAGGTGAGGTACGCCAGGTACGCACCAGCATGGCATCTTTCTGCGGCTTAAGACTTAGAATTTGAGTCGATGGGTTAGGCGGTGGTGGTTTGGGATTTGGGGGTTCAGGGTTTGACAATTGCGGGGTTAGGACTTGGGGCCGACGAAGGGGTTAAAAATTCGGGGTTCCAAATGTGAGGTAGTAAGGCCACGTCCAAGCAGATGGGTGACCGATGCAAGGAAGAAACCCGCAAATCATCATCACAGGTAATCATCTCCTGAACCCCGAACTCGAAACCTCTGTCGGGTCAGGAGCACAGTATCATTGCCTCAATTCTACTATACACCCGCCACTATCAAGAACCCACAAGATGCAGCCACCAAGCCCTTTATGGCATGCGTGGCTTAGTGCTGGAGCCTTCTTCTTGTTGTAGCCCAGCTGATGTGCCTGAAGCATCACCTGGCGACTGTTGTGGGGTTTCCACCTTCCCTAGTAACCTAGTTGCCTCCATAGTAGGTCACTGTATAGTGGGATCCTGTCCTCACGACATCTATGTCTAAGTACCTAGAGGCTCATACCCTACCCCTTTGTTAGGATACCTAGCTTTATGGTTAGGATCTGTTATCTTAAAAAGTAGGCGCGCTAAAAGAGGGGTATATAGGGTATGAGCCTCTAGGTACGATATGAGAACCCATGAAACGCAGTGTGCTTTTCACTCCACAGTGTGCCGTCAACCCTGAACTCCGCATCGATTCTACCTGTAAGGCTCTACGGACTCATGTATTATAAGGCTTTTGGGCCCAAAGACCATACTATATAATCCCTTTGGGCCATTTTGAACCTTAGGGTACCTGCAAGGAAACGACGTCTACGAACAGAATTCGTCAATGCCAAGGCCGGACCAGACTCGCAGTCTACCTAGGGTTCAGGGTTTAGGCATGATTTAGGGTTTCGGGTTCAGGGCTTCGGGTTTACGGTTTAGAGCTTAGGGCGGCGTCGAAGTAGTGGTTGCTGTCCTGAGGCCCTCTTTACAAACTTTATAGAGGCTATAGTATGTAGGTATAGTAGGGCAACTACTGGGCATTTAGGATTTTTTTTGCAAGTTTCAAAACAGGGGACCTGAAAATGGACGCGGACAGAGATCACAGGAATCCTGCCAAACAAATCAGAGTCCCTTCATGGGGTCCTACACAACAGCGAGAAGGTAGTCTCAACCGGCCCTTCAAGGAACACTTGTAGGGATCCTTCTAAAGGAGCCCTCCACAGAAACCTTAAGCCGCACCTCAAACCCTGAACCGCAAACTTCGAAGCCTACATTTTATTCATACACTAACCCTCACCCTGATAGGAAACCGAGACGTATCAGAAAAGGATCTCCTCAAACTCAACTGCCTCGGCACATATTTCCCAAGGGTCCATGTGCCCAAATAGCATATACTTTGGCCTCACAGTAGTCCCTCTATCGGTACTTGTCGGGCCAAAGACTACGACCTTGAGAACACAGACCCTGAACTATCCCCAAATCCTTATGGTACCCTTATAGGCTCCAAACCCTAAACCCTAAAACCCTCGTGGGCGCTCAGGGTTTGGACATGGGCCCTGAAGGAATGGTGCCTTCGCCTCCACCTCAGACATCTCCTCCAAGTTCATATCCAGGAGCTGCGCGGGCGGTGGAAGATTAGGGTTTAGGGGTTTAGGGTTTAGGAGTTTAGGGTTTAGAAATTTAGGCTTCAGGAGTTTAGGAATTTAGGGTTTGGGAGTCTAGCGTTTTGTAGTGTTTAGGGCTATTGAGGGTTTGGGTTTAGGGCTTAAATGTAGTTATGTACATCCAAACATACATACATACATACATACACACATACATACATACCTAGTTATCTACCTACCTACCTAATTTGCACATCTAGCTACATATGTACATACATACATGCATATATGAATGTACGTGCATATAAAGATATGTCCGGCGAAGGGCTTGGGGGCATACATGATATGGGTTTGAGAGGAATGAAAACTGTGTCGAACCTTCAGAGCTTATGTCATGATGCGGCGGGTGATTTCAATTGCGACGGCCCTGCCAGTATGTGACTGTTCGTACAGCATTACTGAGAATGATCTTGATTTGCATTTCCTTCGCGGTTGCTGCCGTTGTCGCCGGTCATTGCTTTTGGTTTTACCTAAACCCTGTTCTTGCTACCGAGGCATCGCAGCATCTCAGCACCAGTTGTTCTTTTTGCTGCTTCTGAGGGCTTCACAGCAAGTCGCGACAGCACCATACTCGCATTGTGCATTTGTTGCGCAGGGTCTGAGGCTTTGTGTTTAGGTTCTAGGGTTTTGGGGGTCGGATTCGACAGAAGTAGCATCTCAGCGATCGTCAAGTTTGTCGGTCTGCATTGGCACCTTAAGATGACGCCTCGGCACTCCAATTCCCCGTCACTGGTTTCATCCTGCAGGCAGAGCTTATGACAGTATCCATTCCCAACAGTCCTTGAACGTCACACCACAATTCCAGGACAGGGAGACACCGCCATGCCCGCAGCCGCTCGACAAGCCAAGAATGCTGCATGCACCACTCGGTGCGACAACACCCAGCGAGCAAGGAATATATCACGCTTACAATGATGACATACTTAATCCCCCGCCCTCTACAATCAAGGTGTATTCCCAGTTAATTGAGGGCAGTGGGATCTCTGGCCTGGGGTTTTCGTGAGGGCTTAACACAGATCCCAAGCCGACGCGGAACCAAGCTTAGCATTAAACTGCTGGGAACGTTGCGGGGGCTCTGAGTTTTATGGCTTACTTTTGGGTTTATTCTGTCAGGATTCAGCAAACTCGAATGTGGCAAGCCGACATGACAATCGACAAAATAATAAATCATTCTCCGATGGATGCACATGTTATTGGTTACCACATCTCAGCGATCGTCAAGTTTGTGGTCTCCATGGGCGCTGTAAGGCAACACCTCAGCACTCCAATTCCCCGTCACTGGCTTCATCCCGCGGCAATGGTTCTTGTCATATTGTGGAAGCCCATAAGAAAGGCCAAGCATTACGCACAACCAGCATCTGTGGCAAGCCACAGGCGAGAATTCACTGTCCAGAGCAAGCCGGAAAACGCCCGAAAGCAAGACTTGCTGCCAATGCATGGCAGAAACTGGCACTTCCATGAAAGTGCAGCACTCGCCAAATGAAGCAGGACCGACGACAACTGCAGCAATCTACGAGTCGACACAACACAAGCCGCCTCTCAGCGATCGTCAAGTTTGTCGGTCTGCATGGGCGCCTAAACGCCTTAGCTACTCCAATTCCCCGTCACTGCTGTGTCATCCTGCGGGCAGCAGCAACCGTCAGGAGCCAAAGCAACCAAGCTATGCAAGCCGAAGCGGAACGAAGACAGAACCGCTTCCTGGCACAGCTCGTAAGCCCAAAACGGAAAGGACAGATCTCACGGTTTACCTGGTCCAAGACTTACTCCACAAAGTTGGCAAAGCTAGCAACGAAACGGTTGTCGGAACCTTTCCAGCCACAAGTCCCAATGACCAAGCCCCAGCGATGAAGTGCTTGATTCACTGCTCCGCCGCACTCAAGGAAGAGAACTCTGGAACACCATGCACGACAGAGAATGCAAAACATCAGGCTGGTGGTGACATGATTGGAAGCGAATGTTGCGCAGAGCAACTAAGACCCAACACAAGCCGCCAGCCGCCTCTCAGCGATCGTCAAGTTTGTCGGTCTGCATGGGCGCCTAAACGCCTTAGCTACTCCAATTCCCCGTCACTGCTGTGTCATCCTGCGGGCAGCAGCAGCCGTCAGAAGCCACAGCAACCAAGCTATCCAAGCCGAAACGGAACGAAGACTACTTTGATTCATGTCCGGCGACGCAATCCCACTTAGCCTGCTTCCTGGCACAGTGAGTAAATGCGAAAGGGAAAGGAAAGATCAGATGTTTTACCTGGTCCAAGACTCACCCCACAGAGTTGGGGAAGCTAGCAACGACAATTCTTCGAAGTGATCTTCGCACTCCATGATGTTTCAGAATCCTTGCTCCGTCAAGAACGGTTGTCGGAACCTTTCCAGCCACAAGTCCCAACGACCAAGCCCCAGCGATGAAGTTCTTGATTTACTGCTCCGCCGCACTCAAGGAAGAGAACTCTGGAACACCATGCACGACAAAGAATGCAAAACATCAGGCTCGTGGTGACATGATTGGAAGCGAATGTTGCGCAGAGCAACTAAGACCCAACACAAGCCGCCAGCCGCCTCTCAGCGATCGTCAAGTTTGTCGGTCTGCATGGGCGCCTAAACGCCTTAGCTACTCCAATTCCCCGTCACTGCTGTGTCATCCTGCGGGCAGCAGCAACCGTCAGGAGCCAAAGCAACCAAGCTATGCAAGCCGAAGCGGAACGAAGACAGAACCGCTTCCTGGCACAGCTCGTAAGCCCAAAACGGAAAGGACAGATCTCACGGTTTACCTGGTCCAAGACTTACTCCACAAAGTTGGCAAAGCTAGCAACGAAACGGTTGTCGGAACCTTTCCAGCCACAAGTCCCAATGACCAAGCCCCAGCGATGAAGTGCTTGATTCACTGCTCCGCCGCACTCAAGGAAGAGAACTCTGGAACACCATGCACGACAGAGAATGCAAAACATCAGGCTGGTGGTGACATGATTGGAAGCGAATGTTGCGCAGAGCAACTAAGACCCAACACAAGCCGCCAGCCGCCTCTCAGCGATCGTCAAGTTTGTCGGTCTGCATGGGCGCCTAAACGCCTTAGCTACTCCAATTCCCCGTCACTGCTGTGTCATCCTGCGGGCAGCAGCAGCCGTCAGAAGCCACAGCAACCAAGCTATCCAAGCCGAAACGGAACGAAGACTACTTTGATTCATGTCCGGCGACGCAATCCCACTTAGCCTGCTTCCTGGCACAGTGAGTAAATGCGAAAGGGAAAGGAAAGATCAGATGTTTTACCTGGTCCAAGACTCACCCCACAGAGTTGGGGAAGCTAGCAACGACAATTATTCGAAGTGATCTTCGCACTCCATGATGTTTCAGAACCCTTGCTCCGTCAAGAACGGTTGTCGGAACCTTTCCAGCCACAAGTCCCAACGACCAAGCCCCAGCGATGAAGTTCTTGATTCACTGCTCCGCCGCACTCAAGGAAGAGAACTCTGGAACACCATGCACGACAAAGAATGCAAACCATCAGGCTGGTGGTGACATGATTGGAAGCGAATGTTGCGCAGACCAACTAAGACCCAACACAAGCCGCCAGCCGCCTCTCAGCGATCGTCAAGTTTGTCGGTCTGCATGGGCGCCTAAACGCCTTAGCTACTCCAATTCCCCGTCACTGCTGTGTCATCCTGCGGGCGAGTTGTCGAAGCTTCATAAGGCTGCAAGCAGCAGACATCAAAGGATGTCTGACGTTGCTCGTTACTTTTGACACAACGGCGCGCAAGCTCGATTTCCGTTTAAGCTTCAACTCAAGGCCCTGATGCTCACTTGCCCTGCATCACTCCCAGCTCCACAGCCATGATCTGCCGCTTCGTCATCATTAGCATCATTTACATAGAAGGGTGGAGGCGTGAGTAGAGTGATGGTGGTGCATGTGACCCTGCAGTGAAGGTGATAGTCGTAGTAAACAGGAGTGAGCAGTCGTAGTCGTGGCCACATTGGGAATGGGAGTGCAGATGGTAGTGCTGGGGTACGAGGGCTAGTGCTAGGGGCTAACCGTAGTGGGGGTAGCAGTAGTTGTAGTAGTCGTCGTAGTCGTGGTCGTAGCAGCAGATGAGCCCACTGGGTCGTATTACTCATAATACAGGTGTTCTGTTTCTGCGTCTACGTTCATTACATCGCTGATGTATTTCGTTACTGCCGTCCAAGTGTCGTCCACGTGAACACTGGGCGAAAAGATGTGTGTGTTCTCTCAAACGACCCCCTGTAGGTTTTTGAATATCAAGTTCTGGATCATTACCGCCTGTTGAAGAAGCCACGCATAACAGCCGCGCGGGTAGCTTCGGCATCATATCAAACTTGCTGTTTTCAATTTTATATTTGGGTATATCTACCGGTTCTAGTCTAGGTATTCCTTCACTCATTAACCAATAAGAGAAAATATTCGTTAACATCATGGACAAGTGTTTTCAAACGATACATGATATCGAAGAATCGCGGTCACAAGTAGCACTTGTTTGCACTGGCTACCGTTCAAGCGGTAAGCTGCAAACCCTCAACCCCAGGCCCTACCTCATGTACCCTGAGCCGCAGTCCACAGACTCTAAAGCCCTATGTTCGGCATAATAGGGGCCTTAAGAAATAGAAGCCTGTCCCTGAGGGTCCATACATACTACAAGAGTGGGATTATGGGTCCAAAAAGACCATCCCTACGATGGTTTTGGGAGCCAAATTCCATCATCTTAGTATCTGCGGACCCTCTTGGTATAAAGACGAACAATATTGCTGATAATGTGGGCGGATGTCAAAATTGGGGCCCCTCTTTGCCCTGAGTACCGTATTATAATAAGGCCAAATTTTGACAACCACCCATGTAGGCTCTTAAGCCTTCTATTCTTGAAGCCGGCCTTGCCAAGGCGATGTGCTTCATGGTGCGCTCTGTTGTAGGCCTTCGTGGCCTCCTTCAGCGCCTGAGGATGGATGCTGTTTTCGGAAGTTTTTTGAGGCCCAGGGGGTTAGGGTTCAGGGGTTTAGGGGTTTAGGGGTTTAGGGGTTTAGGGGTTTGGGGGTTTAGGGGTTTAGGAGTTTAGGGGTTTAGGGGTTCAGGGGTTCAGGGATTGGGGGTTGTGGGGGTTCAGCGTATACGTAGGATTCCCTTGTCCCGGGCTTCGTGCAGCGCTCAGGCATTGTCACATACTTCATGAGATTGCATTACCCATCTGCCCTAAACCCTCAAAAATCAGACCCTCGATCGTTTGAGCCAGGATTGAGCATCAAGGCTTCCGACATAGACGTCCGCTTCTGGGATTTAGCACAGGAAGGGGGGGTTCTTACATTTAGGGATACCTTTAGTACAAGGGTCTTTAAACAAAGGTTGCCACTGCCTGTGAAACTCCCGTTTCGGGCTTAGTTTCAGGGTTGCAAGATGGGAGCAAGGCCCTGGACTTGGTCACCTGTTCAAGGCGTACACTGCCTCGTCTTCGGGATCAAGGGCTTACTGTCTCGGAGTCTGAGAACGCTCCGGAGTGACCCTAAACCCAAACCCAAGCGCTTGAGACTTCTCGAACTCTTGTACTAAGCTAAAACACGGTGAAAACATGCACGTAGAGGGACAACAAGAGGAGATCCTAATCAGAACACCTAAACCAGTGTTACAATTGTCTGTAAATACACACAGGCCCCTTCCAGAACCAACTAATTCTGTAGACTCCCCGCGGGTAGCCTTAAACCCTGAAACCTTATACCGAACCATATTAGCTTACAACTTCAGACATCCCAGACCCTAAACACTGAACCCTCAACCCAAACCTCTGAAGCGGAATGCTGAACCCTAAGCGGCGCTGGGCTGGGGCCTTCATCTGCTGGGCGGTACCTTCCGGAAGCCTCGCCAATGGGTCCAGTCTCGATTTGCTCAGGGTTGGTGGTTTAGGGTTGATTGCTTTTGGGGTTTCCTGTTGATTATTGAAATCCTCATGGTGACCGAAGTGCTGAAGCTAAACCCAAAGAGGGCACTGTAGACCCATGCTCGGACCACGAACCCAACGACGACGACCACGACCGCCGTAACCGCCCTAATGCATACCGCCAGCGCCCCCAAACTCCGACTAGACCGCCGCTGCTGCTTGCAAACATGCCACCGTGCCAACGATACTAGTCGCTGCCATTGCTACTTGTACTGTCATTGCTAGTACAAGAGGCCGGTTGGGAAGGGAGGGCGGCTCGTTCCTTTCCCGTGACCAAAACCATGCTCATGGGCCAGAAAACCATTATAATATCATTTGTGTCGACATCACCGTGCTCTTCTGCTCCAGCGGTCGTCAGAACTATGCTTATCGCCATCATCGTCATCAGTACAACTTGTCACTTGCCTTTCCAACGCCTGAGAAACACGAGCAAAGTCAACAATATCTACACCGCCATCACCACTGTCATACTTGTTCCGAAGAGCCGAAGATTGCATGCATCCGTCACAGCACCACGATGTAGCTGCATGCCTTAACGAAGTCTAGCAAGGGTTCCTGCTCCAACTCAAAGCGAAGAAACACAAAATGCACATCGAAAGACCTAAACCTGGAAGCACCGCCTAATGCGCTACATGCCGACCCCCAATCTACCCTTTATTGCAACGCCTGACCACGTCTTAATGAGGAGTACGAGACCCTGGCACGCCCCGAGCTTCAACAGTCCCTGTAAGGTCGAGGCCCTTCCACTGCAGTGTGTCGGTGCGCCCTCTGCGTGGCTGCTCGGGAAATTACATGTCAGTTGTCTACTCGGTTTGGTGATTTACCATCCCAGCGGAAGCCTTTCATAACACTATATCAGCCTGACTGCGGGCTACAAGTGACACTATGCTACTATTTTGCAGGCTAGAGCTACGAGAAATCATTAGCATTGCTTGATCTGTATTTTTGGCAATCTGCCGGGCTGTGGTCGGGTTTCTCTTTCCCTATAGGCTCCATGTGCCGCAATAGCATATACTTTGGCCCCAAAGTACCTACAAATAGGGACGACATTCAAGCCAAAGTAAGGTACATGGACCCGTACTGTTTTGGACTCTGTGAGTCCTCTGCCACCCTTTTCAGGCAAGGGCTACCGGGACTTTGAAGTCAACTGGTGGCCTACTAAGAATCCACATGATCCCTAGCCCTAAGGCTCCAGTTCCTTAAACGGTGGGTTACAGGGCTACACATTATTAGGTCAGCAACCCACTATTTAAGCAATTGGAGTTAGGGTGTCATTTCGAGGGTCTCAGATTCCAAGGTGGGGGGGAGTCTACCCTACACCCTAAGACCTACACCCTAACCTTCTACATGCTGAAGGAGTCATCCCAGGTGATACGTAGGTCCGGGACCCCACTGCACCCTTGAATTGTATCCCATTTATACTTAGCAGCGTTTCTTTGCCTCCGAAAACCTTGATCTGCTCTTCGTCGTCTTGTGCACTCTGAACCTGCTAATTCGGCCCTGATCTGCGAATTACTGTTCACCTGACCTTCTTCGGGACGATGTACTCTACGGTTGGGACACTATGATAAGAACATATGCCCAAAAGCAGGTACTACGTTACGACGTCTAGATGAAGCGAAACTGACCATAGGGGCTCCTACGATCACACCTTAGAACAAGCCCAATGGGGGTTTCATCCCAGAAGGACCCTTAGTATGGACCATGAACAATAGAATCATGAATACATCCTCGACTCCGATGGGGGACAAATGACTCCATAGGGTTCATCTAAGCATAAGCTATATATATATATATCACAATATATATATATATATATGTATACATAAATGGATATGAATATATATATATATATATATATAGATATATATATATAGGAAACCCGAAACGCCTACAAGTAGGTGGGAAGTGTTGAACCAATCACACCCAATCTCGAAAGCCCAAGACATGCATAGCTCTCTGTTGAACACTGAAACTGACTACTAAGACTCAAACCCGTCATCCGTGTCAGGAGTAAGGCCACTCGCTCATCGCCTTTTAGAATCAAGCCCGTCATCTATCTGCGTGGTTGTCAAAATGAGGGTCCCTTTTGGGGTACCTTAAATGTTGAGTGCCGTATTATATTAAGGACCCAAAAAGGGACCCTAATTTTGACAACCACCCATCCGCCTTGGAGCCATTCTTGGAGACTCCGTTGGTGCGGGCGCCGGTGCAGTTGACGCCTGAGCGTTACGGCTTAATTCTGTTAATGGACAAAATCCTGCATTACCAATTATAAGGAATATACCATCGTTCCCATAGTTTAGAGTCCTTAGGGTCATGCAAAATTTTGTCCATCAACAGTTACATGCCTTCTGTGAATTGCTCGGGGGGTTCCAGACATAGTGTAAGCTTTAGGCTTTACATACGTAGGGTTTAGGTTTCATGTGGTCTCTTGTGGTTTAGAGGGGCTTCTGCATTTCTGCATTTCGAGCGAAGGCGGATTTCTGCGATGTATGTGACACTAGCACAAAAACCGTTCACGGGTACGTTCAGACAAACACACGCACAACACTGCTAATCAAAGGACACACAAGTTGGCTAGAACATCGATGTTTACGGTAGTCGTTCTGCAGTGATTCCGTGGTCGTACTCGTCGACGCTGTCGTAGCCGTAGCAGCAGCACTCTAACTACATGAGCGACAGTTGGACGAAAGACTCACTTGTCATCTTGTAGTAACCGCATGGAGCAGAGAGCACCTTGGAAACCAAAACTGCGCTGCCGAAGCCAGAAAGGCAGGCCCCAAAGGCCTTCTAGAATGTATTCCTGCTGGCCATTCAGGACGGGTGCGTGACGGCATCTTTCATGCAGCGAGAGCCTTTTTGCGGACTGGCTCCGAGCCACCTTTGAAACGATGTCAGAAGAGCCAACCTTTAAGAGTGTCCAAGTACCCAAACCCCAAAACTCCACGTGCCCCAAAAGAAATGTATATATATATATATATATATATATATATACATAGCATACAGTACATACTTAAGCCCTAATCAGACGGGGTTCTATATAGGTACGCCTTTACGCCCAAAGCCATAGGGACATGATGCCATGCTGCTATTCTGAGGAGATCGAGGGTGCAAGCGCCCGAATAGCATGGTGTCGGCTGCCAACACCCCTACGCTTCCATTTGCCAATATAGCAGACACTTTGGCCCTGCTTTATGGGAAAGCTGGGGGAACACACTTTGGCCCCTGAAAGTACGAATTGAGGGACTATTTTGAGATAAGAGCACATGGACCGTTAGGAATACTGGACTCTGAGTAGTTCTGGAGACCTAAGACCCCACCATGTGGGCACTTGGATCCGTAGGGGTGGGAATGATCGCCATGTGCTTTGCAGTCGTGGCGATACGAATGTATAAACACCTCCTTGATTGTGGCTTCGTGGCAGTCAATCGCTGTGAGGTCGTGATCAACATTGCAACAGTGGCCTGTGGGTGCAGTCTAGGAGATTGGGGTCGCCTGCAATTGAAGCCTTTGCTGCCTTTTTGACGAAAGCCACTGAGATACTTCACTGGCAGCCACACACGGTGAGCGCACGATCCCTTGGGGAACTATGCACCAGCAACCAGATGAGGAGGCTTTCTCCGCCCGTGAACCGGAGTGGGCACATGTAAGTGAATTATTGCAGCGAGAACAGGGCGAATCTACGATAACTCGAATGCGAATCCAGGCATTGGGTGCACATGGGAGTCTCAAGATGGACCAGGGCATGGTCCAAGTCGCGCTACACAAACCAGAACCCTCCTCTCTGATCATGGCGAATCCGAAACCCCAGATGCCCGGTTAAACCCATTGTTCAGCTGAATCTGGACCGCAAACCCCTTGATGTAAACGGACTGCGAAACCCCAACCCTTATATACATCCAAAACCTAAAACCTATTTAAAAACTCTGAAGCCTAAGATTTGGGTATGAGGCTTCGAGATTGACTATGATCAGACTCGGGAGTTCAGGCACCACAGGGTTTAGGGCTTAGGGTCGGCGCTTAACATTTTGTGGGAGTTGTGCCTCAGTAAGATACTCTTGCACCCAGTAAGACAGCATGGTGCAAGAATGTCTGAACTGTCTGAATTGTCTACCTACTTTTAGAGAGTGTAAGACATTACGGGCCCCATATTTTCCAGTCAAAATGCTGTTTTCTAAGAGTTTTCATTACAAAAACTTACAATCGTCATAATTTGCATACTAGTGGTTTTCAAGCTTACTTAACCCTGTTGCTCTTGATGCCTGATATGGGAAATACTTTTCCAATCAACATGGGATGCACGTGTGACTACCTTTCATTGTGGAGTCTCATGAAGACTATCCGATAAATCAATGCCACTTCAATCTTGTGGTTGTTCTTTGTGTCTCATAGTATAATCTTGCAGATAAATGAGATACAATGCGTCTGCGAAACCGTGCATTTCTCCACCCTTGAATGATGTACAAGACCGGTCAATCTATATGACTTTTGTATATCAACGTAAAGAATCGCTTACATATCCTACCGGTTTTTGCAGGCCCCATCATGTGCATGGTAACATATGATTTTGGATATAGACGTCCAGCATATACTGTAGCATGACAAGTTGAGTTTGGCATCATACAGGCAGGTTGCTCAAACAGTTCCCACCGTCTCAAGCTGTATACATGCAGGCGATCAACTGGATCGTGTTACCGGATCCATTTGCATATGTACATATATACATATATGTGCATAGATGTCTTTGCTACATTCAGTTTCGATACCGTTTTTTCGTATGAATGCTAGCTTGTTTAGTGCAACCTCCTTCAAAAGCGTATTTATTGTTTGCGATTATTATTGCATTGGTTGTCCTTGTTTCGGAGCTCCCAGTCCAATAATTTGTCCAGTATTTGGAGCTGTGTGTGCGGAATTGTGTATTTCAATTGCAATAGCTTCTCACAGAAGCCAACCCAGAAAACTGAAAACCTACGACCTTCGACGAAGACAATCATCGCATGGATGTTGCTGTATACATCCTGACAGCTACAATGCTGGCTTATTCAGATTAGTGATCATTGCGGCTGAAGCCCACAAGCCCCCAAAGGATAAGGATATAATTGAGTTAATATACTTTTCAAGGAGATGGTGCTTTGCTATCATTATTGTATATGCAGACATATGGAGATCCACCTGCAATATTAATCATTTTCGCTGTCTTGTTGCTCATACCATCTAGTCATAAGTTGACTGCCGTGAAAACACATTATTTGCACATGCACACACAAACATACACCGACACGCACATACGATTGTCATCAGCTGTAAACGATACCGCTTGTTATATCTATGCTGCAGGCAATGCACCTGTATGCCGCAACCATTCTAATATGGTCTTGTTAAAGCCCATGACGCACTTCATCGTGTGTCTTGTGGATATCTCCGTAAACTAAATCCTGTTACCCAAGAAAACGTATAAGAACTATACTATGCCTAAAACCAACTTTTTAATATGTGACATCATCAAGAAGTCAAGAATCTCTTGTGGTGGAAGTAAACATGGCAGATTACATTGGCAGCTGCATGCCAGTTTTGGCAAGAGTAATGGAGCCGTCATATTGAGGCACCCAACCGGCAGCTGAACAGGATATTCGCCACATTCCTTCGATGTAAAATGCATGTTATGTGTTGAATATGGCCATATCAACATAGAGCACCAGGAAATTTCTTCAACATATCATTATGATATTGAGCCATCCGTATAGATCATCGCAGTATGTGTCCTTATAAGATGCCCGCATCGTTCGGGCTTCCCCCTTTACGCCTTCCGGCCGCGCGGGCAAGCGGGATTGCACCAGATATTGGTTAAACCCCTCGGTAGACCTTTCTTAAAGCCCGGAGACTTATTCTCACACATAAACCCAATCTCGCATGAAGTTACAACAGTCACAGCTAAGTATGAATAGGTCGCAAGATGCAGGCAGCATCTCATGACACATATCTTCACTATGAGATTTGACTTAGATGTCCTCGTGCATCCCGTGAGCTTGCCAAGCTCGTATGGCATCTCCCTAGCACCTCATGCTACATGCGCACGAGTGTGTTACGCCATATCATACTATGATGCGCATGGTTCACGTGAACATTGATACTTCACCATGACGTGCTCATGAGATATATTGTTTCCATATCTAGCCAGTTTTGGTATAGTGATATTCAGATTACTGCGAGTAGCCGATCCTGATCACAGGAACATAAACCAATAATAATTTCCAGTTGTAAACTCCCCGACAGAGCCCACCATGTTGCTCGAACATCGCACAAGTGGAATATTCAAACTCCCGTTTTCATGCACCTAAAAGATAGTCGGATTCGGATTCCTTACATCGCAACCTGTCAATGAAAGGCGAAGACAGTGTTTGTTGTATATGTTATCGAGGAGACTGGTCATACATGTATCTGACATCCAGCATATATACCGACCGTATGTCCTCGCATATGCTACCACATCATATGCGACATCAAGCATTGTTGTTATCGCTTGACTACGACAGACCCTTCAACTGGTTGTCCACCTGGCATTGCTCAGGCAGTGGTTGTGTCGTGAGTTCGCATCCATCGAATGTATGTTAATGTAAGGTCTCCTCGTCATATGATGTCATCAGTCATAAATAGTTTATCACCTTTGTGAGCTGTAATCTCAGATATCGACTTTTCTATACGCAGTAAGTCTCTGAGGTCTTTTATAGATTCTATAGATGTTTATTTGGTAAATTTGTAATCTCATTGATCTTAATATTCGGCATAGAGTATCTACTCACTTGCAGTGAGGCTTGCATGGGCTAAGGGCTAAGGACACCAGGTTTAAATCATGTGGCTCTTGGTTGGTGTCCGCTCCCGCAGTATGGCGCACCATGGCGTTGGCTGTCACTTGCCTTGCTGTCCCCGCGCGGGGGGGGGGGGCAGCCACCAAAAAAAAAAAAAAAATCTGGCGGGGGGGGGGGGGGCAGCGCCAAAAAAAAAAAAAAAAAGATTTTATATATATATATTTTTTTTTTTTTTTGGCGCTGCCCCCCCCCCCTCCCCTCCAGATTTTTATTTTTTTTTTTTTCGGCCGCCCCCCCCCGCCTTCCCCTTAGTAGCAGTGTTCTCGCCCTTCGGGCCTAAACCAGCCAAGAAGTGAGTCAAACCTCCTGCTCTATAGTCACGTCGACAGTTGAAATAAGCACATGTATGGGTA